ATTTCTATAATATAAGGTGGATCGATACCTTATATAAAAAATTCCGTTAATGCAATTGTCAGGGTACAGTACAAGCTCTTGCTTCCCAACAATAAAAAGAAAATTTTAATAATTGAACTTAAAAGGGAAAACTGTAAATGCCCCTCAATTCGTACTTTCTAGCCGTGCCTTCCCAATGCTTTTTAAGTTACACTCTTAACAATAATGTTTATTCTTACATCTAACCCCCCAAGCAAATATAATATATTTTTCGAGCTAAAACATCCCCATCTAACATGCGTTTCTCTCACACCATGTGATGCTCAACGTGTGAGTCCGGCACAAAAAATGTGCCGAAGCGGCTTTTTTGTCTTCAAAATATACCTGATAAAATGTGTGAGTTTTGACACAAAAAATGTGTCGGACTGGCATCTAATATCAAAATTTTGCTGCTCCTGTATATTTTTGTGGCATATTAACTTCAATATTCAAGTTTTGTTGGTTTACTTTTTTTTGTTAGACTGGATAGAGAAATAAAGGGAGCTTGATACAAAAAAGAGAAATGTAAGTTAAATGAAAGTATTTTGATAAAAAAAAAAAACGTTTTTGACTCAGAGAGTGGGTGCGAGAATAACCAGTATTGTGGTTAATTGTGTAGTACCACAAGTGTTAAGGGGTATTGCCCATAAAGTACTATGGGGTATCTATAATGGGTGTGGTTTCCATAAGTTTGCAACCTTAAACAATCCAACTAATGTGCACCTTCAATTTTTATCATAATATATAATTTTGATGTAGAATGTTCTTAGTATTATCTCAAAATCTATTTTTATATCTAATTGTAAAATTTTAAATTTCAAAAGTGATTAAAATCAAGTAGATCTATAAATATATGAAAATATCGAAAATTGATGGTGTAGATAATATGTTGTAAGATGCACTATTTATTAGACTCAAAATCTTTTTTTTTTTTATAGTCATACATCTCGATGTCAAGATGATCAATCACAGGGTTTTTCAACATTAAAACAACCTTTTTGATGGATTTTTGAGGTGCATCTGTAGTTCTACATTTTAAGGTTACAACCTTATATAAACTTTTTCCATCTGTAATTCTCCCCAATTTTAAAATGCAGTTTGTTATCGGTTAGCATTATTTAGAATTTCAAGGCACGAAACAATCAAATTATAGCACACTTCAAAAATTTAACTACAAGAGGTTGTTTTAATGCCTAAATATCATCAAATTGATCATTCCGACATCAAGATGCGTGGACATGAGAAAAAAATAGATTTCAAGTTTTGGAAAGAGTGCATCTTCTAATGTATTTTTTTTACCGTTAAATTTCAAGATTTTTATAGATCTGCTTGATCTACATTATTTTGTAAGCTTGAAATTTTATAAGGGATTGTATACCATGAGACCATTTACCTTTAATACAATGTGGTCACAATTCTTTACAACCATTTGATGTGAAATTTGATAGTTTTGATGTGTCACAAAGTTCAAAAAATTTTATTTGAAGTTTATGCTTGGTCAATGGAATAATTACAGCTACCCAGTTGCACATCCAATGATAAAGATTAATGTGATCACCTTGTATCAAAGGTAAATGGTCTCATTATATGCTTTTCTATTTTATAATTAAAGATAAAAATATATTTTAAGACTATCTCAAAAATTTATAATATTGAAACCACATTTTTCGACACTATTTAAAAGTGCCCTTTACTTTGATTGTTTGACTCGCCTTTACACAAACCGCACCCTCAAATGAATTGAACTTTAGGTCTAATGCTGCCGATGAATTTAATGTCAGGACGGTTGGAACCTATACGCGTGACAGAAGAGTGGGAGAGACGCCGACGTCATATAAAGAAGTAAGAATTAGATACAATAAATAACAAAATAAAAAACATTTGTGACATTAGTGGGAGAAAAAAGATAGAATTGGCCACCATCAGGGCTATGGTTTATTTGCTGGTTTTTCTGGTTGGACCGAATTCTAAAAAAGATAAAAATATAAGAATAAGAATCTAAAAATATGATGTTTATTAGACTTTTGACTTTTGACTTTTGACTTTTGTTTTTTTGTTTTTACTTTCTTCAATATGCTAAACTAATCAAAGCCAGATAGTGCAACCGGCAAAAACTAATAAAAACCAAATTTTGACGAATTTCAAGTAAAGAAATTGGTTTTTTTATTTACGCTGGATCAACCAAGATGAAGATGTGATGGTCCCACTGGCGAAACTAAATGACCTGGTTGAGCCTTTGTAATTAGGGAAAATTCTCAGAATCCGTAATTATCCACCCACCCCCCCAAAAATAAAAAAAAATAAAAAAATCTAAGAATCCCAATTGATCATAATTTTTTGGCATCCTCCCTCCTAATTATTTTTTAAATCATACTATTAACCTCCTTATTATTTACTTCTTCATCTCCCCTTAAGTAAGAAAGTAGTTTTTAGGACTAATTATCCCCATATATAATATTTGAATATTGAGATATTATCTTCAAAACATTTAAATTTTGAAATGTTTTCTCCTTATAAATTTTTAGATAGTTATCTCTCATAAGAATTTTAGAATTTTTCTCTCTAAAAAATTTAAGATGGTCAGTCTCTCTGTACTTGAAATCCAATATAATTTTTCTTTATAAAAAACTGCTGCACTAAAAATTAAAAATGTGGCATAGATTATCGTGTAATACTGGGTTCCCAAAACTTTGAAGGGGTAAAGAGAGAGTAAGGAGTTTCCAAAATAGAGAGTTGGAGTATGCTTAGGAATTTGGTGGATTGCACAAGGAGAATAAGTTAGTTTTTATTATGTATTGGAAATATGGAACAAATATAAACGTTAGGGTATCTCATTTTGAATTCAAATTATGTAATTTTTTTTAAAAAATACATAACTTTGCTTGTAGCTTTTTGCAAAGCTTAGCTCACACCAATTTTCTCTCTCTCTTTATTTCCCCTTTTTAAGATTTTTCTCTCATGAACTTTTTTATGAGTTTCTCTATGTAAAAACACCGACATAGTTTATCTCTCTAAAATTTTGAAATTTAAGTTAGTATCTCTCAAAAAAAATTAAAAATCAAATTTTTTACCAAAATTTGAAAATAGTAATCTCTCAAGATCTAATAGAAATTGTCTAATTTTTTAAAAGGTGAAATCTAATTGATAGAAAATTCAAATTTTAATTTTTTTCTTTGTAGAGTAATCATCTAATGATTATTAGATGGTTCTCAAAATTTTAGATAGAAAAAAATATCCTAAATGAGTCGTATGACAAAAGGAAACAATCCTCTCAAAGGACTGAAGGAGTATATTACACCTGCTCAATTATTAAATTTTAAATGGAAAAGCTGTTTTAGATATAAAAAAAAAAAAAAACCAAATTATATTTATTTTTAGTACAAGAAGATTACAATTATTATTGTCTATTAAATTTCAAATTAAATAAGTTACAAGTGTACTTATGACTAAACCAAAAACCCAAATTTTTTTTTTTGAACTACATGACGTAAAGTAAAGATAAAGGCTCTCATAGTATACAATCCCATGGGTATTTGTTTTCTTGAAATGGCTGCTTGCATTTGAAAGAAACCCAAATTTTTTTTTTTTGAACTACATGACGTAACTTAAACTATCAAAATCGTGCATCTAATGGCTAGTATTAACTGTGACCCCTTATAGTAAAGATAAAGGCTCTCATAGTATACAATCCCATGGGTATTTGTTTTTTTGAAATGGCTGCTTGCATTTGAAAGAAACCCGAACTACATGACGTAACTTAAACTATCAAAATCGTGCATCTCATGGCTAGTATTAACTGTGACCCCTTATAGTAAAGATAAAGGCTCTCATAGTATACAATCCCATGGGTTATTTGTTTTCTTGAAATGGCTGCTTGCATTTGAAAGTGTACTCCACCGAGTAGGCTATAATTTTGGGAAAAATGCATAAAATTCTAAAAAATAGACTTCATAGGCACTTTTTACCCACCCTAATTTTTTTAGTATATTTTTTTTAAAAATCAAGTTTTTATAGCAAATACTCCCAATACAAAAAGTTATTTATTTATTTATTTTTTTGACAAAAATACCATTTTCGTAGCTAACAAATAATTTTCGAATCCCAATAAAAGTAAACGCCAAACAACGGTTGTATATTTCCGGAGCCATCCATTGAGTCGGACCGGAACTATACACTGTTGGGCTGCCTATTCCAGACACAATTTTCAATTTTACTAGACCGTAGCTCACAAATGCCGGACCAACTCTTCCAAACTCCGGACCGCCATGATGAAGTGCCGGACCGCCATAGTGAAGTAGCTCACAAATGCCGGACCAACTCTTCCAAACTCCGGACTGCCATGATGAAGTGTCGGACCGCCATAGTGAAGTAGCTCACAAATGCCGGACCAACTCTTCCAAACTCCGGACTGCCATGATGAAGTACCGGACCGCCATAGTGAAGTAGCTCACAAATGCCGGACCAACTCTTCCAAACTCCGGACTGCCATGATGAAGTGTCGGACCGCCATAGTGAAGTAGCTCACAAATGCCGGACCAACTCTTCCAAACTCCGGACTGCCATGATGAAGTACCGGACCGCCATAGTGAAGTGCCAGACCGTTCCACATTAGTTACTTAAGCACCGGACCGCCTCTTCCAAATGCTGGACCGTTATGGTCCATGAGGTAAGGGACCGCTATGGTCCATGAGGTTAAGGGAGGGGTATTTTAGTTTCATTTTTTTTGAGTTGGAAGGTATTTTTGCTATACAATATGTTTTGGGGGAAAAAATTAACTTAGGGGTAAATTTCTCAAGTTTTATGCAAGTTTCCCACGCAGTCGAAGGGGTATATTGGAACGATGACGAGCGACCGAACGATAATACGCAGTGAGGAGAGACAGAAGGATATTTGCGTAATTTTTATGCAGAAAGACCCGAAAGGACGAAAAGACCCCTGGCTCTATTCTCAGTCGAGCGGGAAGTCAGAATAGAGGAGAGAGAGGCGGAGAGGGAAGGATGCTTACGTGGAAAGGGAAGAGTGGTCGTAAAAGGCTGTCTCTTGAATTCGCCATTGCTGTCTGGACGAAGAAGAGAGAGGAGATGGCTCCAAAGATGGCCAAAGCGAGAACGGCGACGCCGCTTCCATCGCCTCCTCGTAGGCTTACACGCAGCGCCACCGCCGCCTCTGCTCTCGTCGGAGCCAAGCCCACGAACAAGCGCAAGCCCGCCAAAGAGCAGAAGCCCGCAAAGAAATCCAAGACCACCGAAGAGTCCAAGTCCACAAGCGAGGCCAAGCCCACCAAAGAATCCAGGTCCGCGAAGCAAGCCAAGTCCACTGAAGATGCTGAGCCCACAGACGAGTCGAAGCCGACAAGAGGAGGCCGTAAAACCCGAGCGGACTCCCAGGAAGCCCAAGTCGGGCCCACTGTGGGCACGACCATCGTCATCGAGCGCTGGTATACTCCATTTCTCCTGATATATATGGTCGAGGTCTGGTCTGAGGTTGATTTCACTGCATTTCTTTGCTAAATAGTTATTTTCTTCTTATTAATGATTATTTAAAGCTCTGAGATTGATTTCTCGATGCAAGAAATGCTTTAGTTTTCTCAAATCACTGGATTTATTTGTTCAATGTTTATTTTCTATTTATTAATGGTTATTTGAGCTCTGAGCTTGATTATTAAAACAAGAAATGCTTTATTTATCTGAAATCACTTTGTCTCTTTATTTATAGTCATCATCTACTATTATTTGTGGTTCTTTGAGCTCAGGTATTATTTTTTGACATGAGGAATGCTTTGTTTCTCTTGAATCACTGTGTTTATTTGTTTATAGCCACTATTTGTTCTCATTTGTGGTTTTTTGAGCTCTGAGATTGACACAAGGGTTGCTTGTTTCTCTTGAATCACTTCGCTTCTTTTTTTCCAGTCCTAAGTTCCTCTGATTAGTGGTCTTTGAGCTCTGAGTTTGATCTACTGATGTAATAAATGCTTTTTTACTCTGAGTTTACTCACTGTGTTTCTTTTCTTATTGTAATTAACTAATTTTTCTTGGTACGTGTTTAGTTATTGTTTCAAGAAATGCGTTAATTACATGAAACCACCTTTTTTTTTTTGTTCATGGCCATCTTTTTGTGGCATTCACTCTGTGTTAATTTATTGGTGGTTTCTTGTGACACTCTGGTCAATGAGAAATTTCATTTATTAGGCTGTTTTCTTAGGATTTTGTGCAATTCATGGATATTTCAATTTGGATATCTGTCTCAAGTTTCAGCTAAAACTAAGGTCTGGAATGGTCTTTGGTTATTTGTACAGATATACCTATTTGGTTTAAAATAACCAGTCAACAATTTGTGCAAGATTTATGGGTATTTTTCACGGTCGTTTCTTGCTATTTTATTTAGGTCATATCTTTCCTCATTGCCAATTTTTTCAATACTTTTGGACATTTCATGTTCTTGCTGAAAAATTTCATTGGTTTCAGTTAAGACTAGGTCTGGCTATGGTATTTGTTCTTTGTTTCTGAGTTTATTTATGTCATGTTCAAAACATTCAGTAAACTACTCGTGCATTCATGGACAGTTTGGAAATTTTACATGAATAATCCTAGAATCTTTCCAGATCTGTTTATTACATTTTCTCCAGGATTTCCATTACTTATGTGTAGTATGTATTGTTGATTTAGTTATGGATGTGCCTAAATATTCAATGAATATTACACTTGTTCTGAATAATCCTAGAATCTTTCCATAGCTGTTTATTTCATTTTCTCCAGGATTTCCATAACTGATGTGTAGTAAGTATTGTTGATTTAGTTATGGATGTGCCTAAATATTCAACGAATATTACACTTGTTTTGAATGTACCTATCTTAGTTTTTTGTAAAAGAAAAATAATGTTCCTTTTGGTGATTTAGTTATGGATGGACATATATGTTCAATGAGCATTGCACCTTTAATTTGTTCAATTGGGTTGCATATGTTCTTGTTTCTTATTGGTATTGCAACTTTTATTTCGTATGGAACATCCACATTTGTTTTTGTTGTTTGTTGTTCATTTCTTTCTAATATTTTGTTTTAATGGGTATCTTTGTTCGGTGCGTGTTGAGATGCATATTTTACATGCCTTTTTATTAATGATAATAAGCTTGTTAGATTTTTTTACTTGTTTGATTTAGCACACAATGCAACTCCTTTAAGGAACGGGCATTGAAGGTCGAGAAAGGATTAAAAGAAGCCGTCCCTGATGTTAATGTCAAGATAAACCCAGAAAAGGTAACATTATTTTCTTGGTATCTTTGCGTTGCTGCAATGGTGGGATATGACATCCCAAGGATTCTACTTGCATATGTAGTTAATTGTTTCTTTATTATTGGTAGGCTATGTTCTATATGACTATATACTTGAAATTAACGAATAGAAAAATTGAGCATTTGAAAATTTGTATGATAGCTCTCTTTTGTGGCAAACTTTTTTGAAAATCTGATTAATTCCAAAATTGTAGAATTTTCTCTCCCTTGATAAAATTTGGGAATTTCCCAATGAGACCTATGGTGATGTATCACAAGTATAGAAGGCCAACTTAAATGCGCGAGCAGGTGGCATATCTGGCTGAAATTTTTCTGTCTCAATATGAATTTACATTCATTATATTGTTATTTGTTACAGTGATTGCTTTCTTTAATTGCATTGCATCTCAGTTCGTCATATAGTGAGTTGAGGTACTAAATTTGGGATAGTAGTTGGCAATGTGGTCTTCGCGTTGCTTCAGCCAATGAGCCTGAAATCTTTGGCTTTTTGACAAGGGCCAAGTGAAGCAAAGTGGAGGTTATCATTTTGTTAAAATATTGTATGGTCCCATGGTTTTAAGCCCCATTTGAGTACAAACCATATCTAGAACTACATGTAGGACTCCATGTTTTGGATATGTAACTTTCTCAATCTAGGACCAACCTCAAAGGGAAAAAAGAATAAAAAGTCATATGAATTTTATGTGCCTTAAAAATATATTGTCCTGAGATTCAATAGAGATCATCCAAATTTTTGGACGTTTAGATCTAAGTTTTAAAAGCCACAAAATGTATGCCTCTTTTTTATAATACTCATTTGGTGGTTTTAAAATGGATCAAATTTTTTTTGATAAAGAAACTATTCCTGTCCCCTTATTTTATCCGATGGAATAAGTGTGTAGCATGCACCCATGGGAGCACACTATAAGTGAATGTTAACATGTAGGAGATGAGAGAAAAGGTTCAGGTGTGGTATTTAACAAGCTGATAGTTGACAATGCGAGATAAGACAGTTGGCCGTTGAAAAACATGTACACCCTCTATTACTCATTGATCAAAGAGCAATTGTATGCCCTAAAAAGAGCAATTTTCATCATTTTTTTTCCTTATATTTTTGTAAATGATTTTAATATTTTTGAAAAACTGAAGCCTTTCCGGTTTGGCTGAAGTGGCAAAGTGCTTCCCTTTTCCTGCCAAACCAAAGAAGCCCTCCAAAGTGAAGATGACTAACATTGTTTGTTGGTTTTCTACATTCATAGCTTTGGCTCCTCTTTCCAACTGGTCCTGTGGATTACTATTTCATACGATTATGCAAAGAATATTGTTGCTTTGAGAGTCTTTTTGATCCTGCCAAATTTGAATTAGAGTATTTTATGTGATTTCTGTTGTGTTTGTTATTTTTAGGGCATGTTTAGCTCCAAATGAATGTGAATCTACATTTTTTTTTTAAAATGCAGATGTCCGTTTGTTGAATTTAAAAAAACTGTATTTAAATCTATTTGTGGTTCTGGGGAGTCTGGTTGTTCTCTTAGCAACTCATTTGTGGTTTGGGTTAGTTTTCATTTATCTCCCCTGCCCCTGGTCCTCATTGCCAGAACTCATTTTCCTATCTCGCTGGAATTTCCATCAATCATCGGATTCCAACTTATTCTAGTCCAAGAGAAAGAAAGGGGGTGCTGTCTGCGCAGTTTTGGAGAGAATGTGAAAATTTGCTGGCTGCTGCCCTCTTCTACATTGTGGCTTTCTATCACTCTAAAACTTCGTCCATTTCATTGCGATGGCCTCCTTCCTCCTACTCCACCACCAAAACCTCCTCCCAAATTTGCCCCCTGCTACTTCCTCATAACTCACTTCCATTTTCACCACAAATCCTTTCAAAACACCATGAAATCCTCTGCCGAAGTCTCCTGCATATTCAGCCTCTCTGCAACGTTCTCTAAAACCAGTGCCATCTCTACCCCCAAACTCATTTAAACTCACCATCATAACTCTCTGGTAGACCTTTTTTAAATTCACTGCCATATCGATTCATTCATCTTCGAAAAAGGACCAAATTCACAAAAGTAAAATAAAAAGTGGGTTTCAAAGACCAGGGTTTTTGAAGACCAATACTGCAATCTAAATTTTAGTTATGGATCCATACTTTGTGAACACCATTGATTAGTGTACCAAAACATGCATAAGATCCCGATGCCCTATAAGCAATGAAAATCTTAAGGGGTTGTTGTTCTTGTTGTTGCAAGCGCTAGAATTGGAGATCTTCCATTTTCCTCCCTTTTTTGTCTCTTCACAGGTAGGGGATGGAAGACAGGGAACCAAAGGTCGTGCTGTTGCTGGAGAGCATTAATTGCTTTGTCCCTGTCTTCTTTTAGGACTCCCTCCTCTCTTCATCCATTTCTCGCTTTCTAAAACTTCCTTTTGAAGGTAAAAGAGGGAAAAATTGTTTGGCTAGCTGAGAGCCTTGAGTTGCCAACTGGATGTCTAATTTTCACAAATGAAAAAAAATGAGGCCCAATAATGAATGAAGACCAAACCACAGATATAAGGCGAAAACCCAATTGGACTGTTTTTAGATTTTTACAAACTAACTAATAGGCAAAATGCCTCCACGCCATGGTTTGGGATGGCATTAATGATTAGTCCCATATTTTGTTTGGGCTACCATGAAGTTTCAATTTCATTACTTCTCCTTGGGTTGTTATGTCCTTTCTTTGGAAGATATATACCCATTTGCATGGAAATTTACACTAGAATGGCACTTGTTTTGGCCTGTACTCCCTTTAATTGACTTTCAAGGGAAAATTCTATCTGTGGAATCAATGTGATAAAAGTGCAAAGCATCATAAAGGAGTATAAGGATATTATTTTTTATCTGACGCTCCTAAGATGAGTATAAGGATATTATTACCATGATTCTTCATTTGTACTTAGTATTTTGGCAATAGCTAGAGACACTAGTCTTTGACCATTATTCATAAAAAGTTCTGGTTATTCCTACTCACACACTTCTTCCCATAGTTATCAAAACTGCGCTATGCACCTGCATTAATGCAGATGCGCCCTGAGGTGTGCAGAATACACCTGTGTATGTAGGTTTTCACGATATATCCACATATGCAGCATTATCATCCACATATGTGGGTGGATCACGTATATGTGGCTCACTGCTAGTGCTCGGAAAAATGCCCACGAGCATTGGCATTTGTGTCAATTTTTCCTGAGAAGGGAGAATAGGGTTTGGGGGGTATAATAATCCCCCCTCCCCCCCCCCAAAAAAAAACCTTGGGACCCTTTTTCATGGTTCTAAGGGGATTAAAACTTGGAAATTGCATAGTAAATTTATATACCGAATTTGAAGTTTTTGTTCAGAGCGTGTATACTGTGCTCTACTCCGTAGCTCCAAAAACATATTTAGGGAGAAAGTTTTTGGTCTCAAATTTTGGGAACCATATGAGTATTACTAAATGATTATTTTCAAAAAAAAAAAATTAATTTTGGGTTTTTTAAAACTTCGATTTAACCCTTCAAAAATTGGACAGTATGTAGTCAATCTTGAGGCATTAGTTTTTTCTAATATATATAAAGTTTATTTCAGAAAATGTTTTTTACTGAGATTGGTCTATATATTATATAGATCACATGTCCAAAATTTGAGATCTAAAAAATATCGCTAGCACATGTTTTGCCCAAGGGAGTAAATGGATAGTATCCTTCTATGGGAGTAGGAAATATTTTCGCTTCGTCAAAATTGGGGGATTCTTTGGGGGATGAATCAAGATTGTTTTGGGCATTGTTTTGAGGGTTTTTCGGCAATTACAAAGTAATCCGGGATTTCAAGGATCGAGGAGATTAAATCCTTAAAATCAAAATTTCTTTTGATTTTGGGTTTGATATTAGAAGTTTGCAACCTAGAATCAACTTTTTTTATGAGTTTCATTTTCTGGTATTCTTTTACTTGAATAGTTTTTTTATCTTCTTTGAATAACAAAGATTCATCATGGATATTTTCAAAACTCAAAAACCATAAGGATCGACATAATGTTTTTTGTGCTCTATACTGAGAAAATTTTAATGAGGGTATTTTTGGCAAAAGGAACATCTTACCAGTATTGCTAGTAATGTAAGGGCATTGCCCTAAAGCAACCAATGAGATTGGAAGAGAGGTTATAGGATACATGGTTTGCCAAAAAGAAAAGGAATAAACAAGAGCAATGATCCAATGCAACGGTTGTATCATAGTATAGTGCAACGACACTTCTAAAAAAACCATGTTTGTGGTATTTTTATGACCCCAAATTTTGCACACACACTCTCTTCATCTCAATAATCAATCCCCAAAAACAAAAAGTTCAATTTGAACTTTAGATATGGTCAAAATGAGTCCCCTCCAAAAACGAATCTAGACTATTCATTTTGTGAATTTCAAGAACTTAGCCTTTATAAACTTAAAATCATTTTTTTTTTTTAACAGTGTTCATCTAATGATAATAAAGTCATCCAAAAAAAATGGAAATGGAAATGAAAAATCCTTCTAAGGCCTAGATCTGAGCATCTCACCAAAATGAACGCTCTATGTTAATTGGGCTAAAAGAACACTTTTTAGGTTGTGTTTTCAATTTTTTTTTTTTTGTGATTGTTCATTGCAATGAAAAGAGTGTATATTTCAAAATTTGGATCGAACAAATGGCCATAAGCTGGTTTTTTAAGGTTGGTGCATCATATTACTATACAACGGTTGCATGAAATCATTGCCCAATAAACAAAAGACAAGATAGCAATAAAGCAAAAGAATTGTTGGAAGAGATTCAAAAATTTAAGGTATGAAGATGTGTATGAAGTTGGAAGTGGGCACAAAGCTATAAGAGAGAGGGTCATACATATTGTTAGCACCAAAGTTTTAAAAAGCTGACCGGCCAGTGCCTAGGCTGTCCAGGAGGACTGGGCGCATCGCCTAGGCCTAAGCGGTCAAACTAGGCGAACATCCCTGGGCGCCCGGGAACCTGCCTAGGCGGCTGCCCAGGGTGGAAATGCGGCTCTTTGAGGGTATTTTCGGGTCATTTTTTTTAATACTAAAGGGGCAAAATTGTGGGTTTTAGGTTATTTGAAATCTAAAACCCATTAGAGGTCATTTTAAAGAGAGAAAACCCAAAAACAAAAAAAAAAATTTCTACTAGCCTAGGTTATGGGCGCTGGGTGCCCACCTAGGCGTTGGGCGGCCTGGAACCCCCCGATCGCCTAGTGCTTTTTGAAACACTGGTTGGCGCTGTTGGGCAGAAAAGATCTCACCCTAAGGGCTCAACAAATGTATTCCAAACTCCAGACCTAGACTTTGTTGGAGAGGATATTAAAATCAATACAAGAAAGAAGAAGGGAATAAGGTATGTTAGTGTAATTCTATGTAGTTTTGCCAAGCCGGTAATTCATTCAATACCATGCGTCTTGATAGCTTCAAGGTTATAGTTGAGGCATTGGGCAATTTGGCTTCGTGCTTAAACCCTCTTAATTTAATGAGCTCAGGGATTCCCTTTTGAAAGAAGTTGCGTAAGATGCGAAGAAAAACTTAAATTCCCAAAGGGGAGGGTGGAAGAAGTATGGATTTACTGTCATGTGTGATGGTTGCTCTGATGGAAGGTCTCTGCATATATTTACATTTTGTTCAATTGTTCCTTGGGGGCATTTTTTGTGGAATATGCCTGATGATTGGACAAGGCACATGATGCAACTTAGTTGAGTTGATGGATGAGACTGTAGACATGTGCCTTACTAAATACATAATGAGATTGTAGATATGTGACTTTGGGTGTTCAAGGCCCTCATCCTCGAACACCACATGATGAACTATATTACACAGTAAGAGTGGGTGTTCAAGGATGAAGGCCTTACTTGGTTGGATGTCGAGCAAGCTGTGGGGCTGAAGAAGCCGTAAGCCTAGCATTATATGTAGTTGCTACAGATGAGAGTTGGGTCCTCCTTACTTCTAGACTGAGGAAGAAGTATATGTGGACGAGAGGGATCATAACACATATATTTAGCAGTGATTGATGAATTAGGGCTTTCTAAATGGATGAAAAGTTTCTCCATTTATGCAATCTGTAACATCAGCAAAATTAGCGTATAATTGATATATTAAGACTTTCAAAATTGAAGATTCTTCCTCCACTGATCAAGTCTGACCGGTCAGGTAAATAGAACAGTGCAATTCATGGATGAGGGCTTGCAGAATGTGATATGCTTTCTTCATTTTTCGACTTCATCTAAATGTAGAGGTGAAAATTGAAAATTAGGGCTTTCAAAATGGGAGAATCCCTTTCTGTTTCTCTGATTGGCTTCATCCTTCCCACATGATGAACTATAGATACACAATTAGAGTGGGTGTTCAAGGATGAAGCGCCCTACTTGGCTGGATGTGGAGCAAGCTGGGGGGCTGAAGATGCCTCGAGTGCTAGCACTATATGTAGATCGCAACAGTTTAGAGTTGGGTCCACATTAGTTCTGGACTGAGGAGGAAAAAGTATAGTGGACGAGAGGGGTGTTAGCACAGATTATGATGGCCAAACAGCCTTGGCTTCGGTCATGGGAGATGCACATTATGGATCATAGGACTTATGATTGAGATTTCAAGTGTATTTATTAACTTTTTTATTTTTATGTCATTAACATTTTTGTCTTTGGACTGATGTGAAGTTCTTGTGCTTGTGAAGAACTTGTGGTCTTTAGATGTTATGTCATGACCATTTAGCATCTTAGGTTTTGGCTACCCGTTAATGCTAGTACAGCCTACGATGTAACTGTAGCTTGATTTGCTAGATGATAATATATTTTTGGGGTGTGCTTGGTTGGTCGCTTGGTAATTCATGTACAAGTTATTGGATTTTAATATTGGGATGTATCACTTTATTTTACATGTCAATTGCATTATTCTCTTGGAGAATAGATACAACAAACTCTACTACTCTACTAGGCTATCAGGCTGTCATCGACTCTACCTGGGATATATTAGGGATAATTACTAACTTAAAATGCCCACTTCAACTTTATTCACCTTTCACATATTCATGTTAGGGATGGTATTGCCCCACAAGTTGTGGATGCTTAAAAGGTTCACAAGCATCTCTTAATAGTTCAGATTGAACCAGCCTCATCCAAAGATAAAAAGCAAATTTTATTTTTTAAATTTTTAATTTGAAAATGATATTAATATGAAATTTTGTTTTAGTTTCATTTTTATAAGGAGAATTTAATAAAAATAGTAAAAATGTTAAAATAAACTGATCAAAATAAATTTAGAGGTATTTTAGTCATTTTTTTTGAAAATATTTTTTAATTATTTCTATTTAATTATATTTATAAGAATCCAACCCAAAATTCAGAAAAACATACCATTTAAATAAAAATAAATAATAAAATACTGAAATTAATTTTTGGCCTTTAACTAATGGCCATGTAAAATCTCAACCATTGGAAGGGGCCTATGCACCCTTTTACCTGTTCACATCATGTGGACGGGATACTTTTCCTTCATGTATTCTATGCATTCTTGCATTTTTGTGATTTTTAATTTGTTTTTTAATTTGTTGATTGCTTCAGATATGTGGCTACATTGGGACCATAAAGGGAAGGCCCTAACAATCAAATTAAGTCGCACATCAAAAATTCACTAGAAGAGGTTATTTCGATGCCCAAAAATCCTCAAGTCGATCATGTCGACCTCAAGATGTATGGACACGAGAAAAAATAGATTTCAAATATTGGAAATAGTGCATCCTGTAATGCATTTCTAGACCATCAATTTTCAAGTTTTTCAAGTGTTTATAGATCTGCTCGATCTACTCTAATTTTGAAGCTTTAAATTTTATAATTAGAAATAAAAATGATTTTTAAGGACGTCACCAAAATTTTCAGTACTTAAACAACATCTTTTGACACTATTTGAAGGTGTGGCTTACTTTGATCGTTTAGGGCCTCAGCCTTATACAAACCACACCTTATATGTGTGTGTGTGAGAGAGAGAGAGAGAGAGACAGTTCATATGAGAGCTTATCCCAAATCTCATTATTATTTTTTTCTATTGAGAAAGTTAATTCTTGTTCTACCAAACTCTAGGGATTAAAGGATATGTCTTTCTAATTTCAGGCATATAAACGTTATCTGCATGTGGTTATGGGCATTTACTGTAAATGCCATGCATTTAGGTCATCACCAAAACTTTCTATGAATCGGTTTATAGCCCTGAAAACTTGTAGAATCTGGGAATAATCTTAAAACTGGACTTCAATGTGCATTTCATTGCGACATTCTCAAAATATAGAATCTGATGGGAGTGGATCGTAGTCATAAATAAATTCGTGTTTGCATGTTTTGCACGTGGAATTTGTTTACTTGTTTCATCTTCCTTACTCCAGATAAATGTCATTGAGTTTCAGATTTCTTTCTGGGAATTCATATATCCTCAAGTTGTTAATGGGGATTTGTCAATGGAAGACTTCTATTCAATGTGAACTTTTGGCTTCTTGTGTTTTTATTTACTGTTGGGCCCAAGCTGTATCTTGAGTTTGGTTTTATGTTGTGGTTTCCAGATTTAAGAGGGGGAACTTTGCTTTAGTTGATTATTACGAGCAATGGCTTAGCGTGTTCTGTTGAATAGTGTGTTGAGGTGTATTTGCTGCTAGATCCATCTATGTAATTGTCCCTTTTTCCTCTAGCTGAAAATTTATATAAATAACTCACATATTTCTGTATACATTATGGCATGATTATTTAATTATAATTCTTTGGAGGTTGATTACTTCAATTGTTTTGCAGCCAAGGAGAGGATGTTTTGAGATTCGTGATGAGAATGGCCAAATTTTCATTTCACTTCTGGTAAACTTTTTTCACATTTTCACATGTTCTAATTTTGTAAAGTTTTCAATAGAGCTTTTGCTGAAATTTTTACTAGAAGAAGATACTTTGGGGATTTCAACCCTTTGCTCTTCGTACCTCCTTTCTTCTTGGCTTTTGCATCTTGGTAAAGTTTACTTGGATTTTTATTATTTTTCCTTTTTCTTTTTTCCTCCGTCATCAATTTCACCTTATCTTGTGATGAACGGGGTAGAAGGCTTGGCAAACAATGATTTCTTGAAGATTGCCTTGTTAAAATAGATTTATGTGAGGTCAGGACTCAGGAGTAGCCCTCGGTTGAAGGTTGGCAACAGGAGTTGGTGTCATTTTGGTTCAATAGATGTCTTGGGGATGCCTTTGTCCCTGTTGGACACTCTGTATTTCTAGTAGTGGAATGGGGTTATTTAAAAATACGTGCATTTGTTTTTACTTAATAAGTGGGTTAAAGTAATGGCCCTGACCATTGAATAGAGGATGGCCAGAGATTGCCATTTTTCATTAACTGACAGTGGAAAGAAAAGGTACAATTTCTAAATAATTGGTTTGTCCACACTGGGCCTTAAGAGTATGACTTTCCCTGCATTTGTGCTCCAGCCAATGGTTTGGACTTTGTCGTATGACACTTGAGCATGGTTAAGAATTTAATTTAGATTTTCTCTCCTTTACTGGATTAATTTAGGTTGTCTAACTTACCTGATCTGTGGGCCCAGTCAGTTTTCTGGGATGTGAACTTTGTGGGTCCAAAACATTCGAAAATAGTGGCATTGGCTGAGATCAAGTGTAGTAATTGTTAGCATACCATAAGGCCGATTTGAGCTGGGAAATCACATGTGGCCCATAATTGGGAGGGAGTTTTGGCGCTGTCTATATGTCTTAGAATGTGTAATGATCCTAGGTGGTTTAAGGGCCTAACTTTCCGTGTTTCCATCACCCAAGGGTTTTGGGGCGTATTGGTTAGGTACCTAACATTTGGTATCAAGGCAACCACTGCGACCCGGGTTCAAATCCTAGGAAATGGCTACCTGTGTAAAGGGCTACCTATGGAAAGGACTACCTGAATAAAATCAAAATGAGAACCAGCATAGATTGAGAGCCGTCGAGGATGTCAATCTTAGGAAAGTGCTACCTGTGGAAAGGGCTACCTATGGGAAGGGCTACCTGAACAGAGTGAGAGCAGCTATAGACTGAGAGCCTCCATAGAATGAGAGCCGCCGAGGGCGTTGACTGTGCAACGTGGTAGTATGTAACGATCCTAGGTGGTTTAAGGGCCTAACTTTCTGCTTTTCCATCACTCAAGGGTTTTGGGGCGCATTGGTTAGGTACCTAACAGAATGCACCCATTAGTGCAGACCAAGGTTCAATTACTTGGGACAGGCTCTTGACTCAGGTAACTCGAGCGAGTCTTAGTGAACTGCCGAGGACGTTGACTGCGCAGCTTGGTAGTATGTAACAATCCTAAGTGGTTTAAGGGCCTAACTTTCCGCGTTTCCATCACTCAAGGTTTTTGGGGTGTATTGGTTAGGTACCTAACAGAATGCACCCATTAGTGTAGACCAAGGTTCAATTCCTTGGGTCAGGCTCTTGACTCAGGTAACTCGGGCGAGTCCTAGTGAACTTTTACCTGAGTAGTGTATGAGCCCAAAAACGGGATAAATAATAAAAAATAAATAAATAATGGTTAAAAAAAAATGAGAAGGCAATGCTTAGCTTCAAATCTTAAAGATTTGAAGCTTGAAGACGCAAAGTCTTGGCTTCGGATCTTCAAGTTCCTAAGCCACTTGACTTAAAAAAAAATTGAGAAAGTTTTCACTGCAGACTTTCAAGGTCCAAAGTCAAGACTTGTTGAAACGGCATTTGGATCTGAAGTTATTTTGACAAGACTTGACTTTGGAGTTTGCACCATGAAGTTTCAAAGTCATACTGACTTCGGACCGTAAAGTTATGAAATCACAATTGCTTCAGACAATGAAGTTCCAAAGTCACAATTTAAAAAAAGAAAAATGGCTTGACTTCAGACCACAAAAGTCCGAAATCACAATTGGGAGCTGCTATCTGAAGCCATTGTCTCTTCGGACCTTGAAAAGAAAGGGTTGTCCTTAAAAGACAAAAACTTGTGGTGATTTTTATTAAAACATTACTTAAGAGGAACATGAGCTTAAATTTCTGACACTTCTTTCGTCAGCTCTTATTGAATTTTTGAGAGTCGGCTGACTTCTTTTAATGCAATTCACAACATCGCCAAATTTGGAATATTTCTTTACCCTGTTTGGGTGTGTAGCTAATTAGCACTAAGGTTTTATATGTGTGTATTGAAGTGAGGACTGAGGAGAGAAGAAATAGCAAATACTGTGATTTCCAGGCAAAAAAAAAAAAGTGAAAATGAAAGCCATCTTCTTGTTGAGCTGCTTTGAAAAATCAGGGGCTTGAGGGGCTCCCTTGAGGAAGTCTAACCGAGATGATCTAGGTAATCAGTCTCTACATTTGCATGTTGAAACTTGAAACCCTGCGAAAATGTGAGTTTTGTGTTTTGAAGGTTCAAATTTAAGGAGAAACTTCCATTAACCTGCAATGAGCTGAACAAGAACAACAAAGGCATTGATTGTGTTGATCAATTCTGTGAAGTATGTGTCACTCATGTGATTGTACTTTGGCACAAATGCACGAGTAATTTTCATGCTAGATTTTATAGATTTAGTTACACAACAGGCAATGCATACTATATGCCAATGGATTATGGAAACAACATGATCTCTAGGTCATCACATTCCATTGAATAATGGATGAATGATAGAGGCGGATTGGGACCCACCAGAATGGGACACAACCTTCATTGGTGGGTCTTACCCTCCATCTAAGTCTATTTCCATGGGCTTCGATGACCCAGTGAACAATTTTTTATCCATAGTCTATTGGCTTAAAGTATACCCGAACAAAGTTCCACACAGCCTGAAGATATCACTGCAATTTGATGTTTTTAGAATTACACTGCCCATGCTTATAGAAGTCACAATATACATTGTATGAAAATTCATGTTGTCTGGCCTGGTCCGTATATTCTAAGTCTGCTAGGTTTGCTTTTGATGATGTGGTTTCACTTTACCAGATGTACATGCTTACACTCAAAACCTCTCAAGTCTTTTTTAAATTAAAATATTTTAACAATAGGAATTGTATACTATGAGACCATTTATCTTTTTATTACAAGGAGGTCACGATTACTTTTGGTCATTAGATATCAAATTGGATAGCTTGGGGTGTATCTTAAAGTTTGAGAAATTTGTTTTTTGAACAGAGTCTAGTCAATGACGTTCTTGCAACCTCCTAATTTGAAATCTGATGTACAGAAAATAAATAGTCTCTTTGTATACTTTTCCTTAACAATTTCATGTTGTTGTACTCATTGTTGGCTATTGGTTATAAGTTGATAGTATAAATGATTGACCAGAGCTTCTCTTCCTCAGAGTATGTCTCGGCCTTTCAAGAAAATGAAGGATCTCAATATGGATGAGGTTGTTGCTGACATAATTAAAAAGATCAAGTGACCCTTGATTTTGTTTGACATCAGAGCTAGAGGCTGGTAATTTTCTGTGAGCTCATTTGGCACAGAAAATGATGCATTTTGGGGATCAGTCTTGGGAGAAACGAAGGATATTATCGATATGGGTATGGCATCGTTTGTTTTGTTTTGGGTCGAAGCTCTAATGGTCCTGACTTCTGAACTGTGGTATAACTCTGACGGGCATAGTTCTATCTGATTCCTGATACATTACTCTGTAATTTTGCATTTGGATGATGTTTGTCTGGTAATTTTCATTGGCATCATGGGAAATGAATTCTGTACAACTTCTGGGCAACTGGTGACTGGTTTGGGGCTGAAAATTCATCACATGATGACTGTGATTCAGTGAAGGATTATGTGAAGTTCGAGATGGATGGCATGAGAGATTACACTGGTTTTTCCAAGTGAAGAAAATTCATGGCATGAGTTTCTTTTTTTGGGTATATGCTCCATGATGAATTAACTGTGAAGAGAGAGAGATGTCAAGAGAGAGAGAAAGAGGTTTTCTAAAATTTTTGTGAATTCCCGTTTATTCATCGAGCTAATTTTTCCATGTATTTCTTTCCGTTTTTGTCTCTGCAAAGTGTTCATTGTAAATTGAAAGATGTGCTACCCGAATTTCCAAATGTGCCCCCATTAGATGTTCCCTGCTGCTTTTGTCAATGTAAATTGTGAAAATGCCTGTGTAGTCTCCATTGTTTTTTATTATCTTGAATAAAGGGACAAGATTTGGTGTTCCGCATCTATACATGGTCTCTTGCCCGAGGCACTATGATTTTTTTATCTGCAAGTTCTATTTATATATCTACTTGTCCCTGTGATTAATTGTGAAAAAATGATCTGGGTGTTAGAACTTGCTATGAACCGATCCCCCTCAGAGATTGACTCGGGACTTTGCAAGGGATGATGAGGACCGGTCATTTGAGGGATGACTGGTCATTTGAGGGATGAATGGTGCCGTTCTTTTGAGGGGTGACGTAAAAGTCGTTTTCTTTAAATTTGTGCTGAGGATAAATCAATATGATTTTAAACCTCAGATCGACATGCTTCTTTAAGTATTGGCTTTGGGTGGGAGACCAATGTCCCCAATCAAAACTTTCTTGAAATATTCAACCTTTTACCCATAAATACATCTAAAATATGTGATTGCCTAAATAACCATGATTTTTTGAAGGGATTTTCTAAATTAAGTGGAAAGAAGAGATTTTTTTAACCATGAAGAACCCATGATTAGCGTTTGTTAGGGGATGTTTTAAATTAAATGGAACGTAGAGAAGTGCTTTATAATAAGTTTCCCTTAAAAACTAATACTTGAACGAGAGTTTTACACAGTTATCTGTGAGAGGTGAAACTAGTGCTGGTATTGGTCTGGTCTAAAGCCAATTTGATTGCTGGTCGAACTCATTGGATTGGATTTTAAAAATATAGAGAAAGATAAGAATAATAATTTTAAAATATAATAATATATTTAAAAAAAGAAGTGCTCAATTTGATTAAGTGGTCCGGCCTGTTAAAACCGTTTAGTTTAATCAATCCAAACGAGTTAAATATTGGTTTTGATCAATTTTGAATCGAATCAATGTGTGTTTGCACGAGAATGAATAAGCCAAGGCAGCATTGGCCAACGATCTGACCAGTTTGGGGGTTGACCTAATAGGATACATCCTGGTGTTTTGCGTTGATGTCCCCATTCTTGTTTGGACCACATTTCTAAGGAACTAAAGGGGTGATGTTAGAATTTTCCAGTTGCTAATTGTACAAACCGGTGTTTCAAAACCCAGATCGGTAGGGTAGATCGTTCACAACACATATCCTTATGGAATCACTAGATTGGCTAGCTGGATTTGTAAAACTTCTCTCTCTCTCTCTTATTTTGTTATCCTCATTCCATCACATATCTCATTAGTTCTCTCCTTGTATTTTTATCCCTCTTTTCTTGCTAAAATATTATGTACACCCATGAGAGCATATTGTTCATTCACTCCCTATGGTTAAACCCTAACTAGAAGTATGTTTAAGACCTCGAATCTTGGGGATATTATGTCTTAAACCTAGCGAACAGCCCCCAAAAATAATAAAAATAAAATAAGATCACCACAAATGCGTTTAAAAAAGTATCAACCCTAGATCGAGCAGAGAGTCCAATCATTGGACAGTCAAATCTAAATATTCAGGATTCTCAAAAACCTTTTTCTCTTTTTTTCCCGAAAACACTCAACTGGTGATTGTAAAGAGGTTCCTGAATTACGGATCTAAAAAATATTTGTAAGGAGCTCTTTTGTCCGAGGGAGTAAGTAGCTAGTGTGCTCTTACCGGTGTACTAATTTTTTCTTTTCCCCGTTTTTCTTGTGGTCATGCATCGTGGACCCCGTTGCCTCTAAGATGCTGGCTCTTGCGGTCCCAAATGTTTCCCGCGCAAATTCAAATTCCTTTATTAAGGTGGAGAAGAGATGAACCATTCGTTGAACCATTGACCCCTTCCTCCCCATTCCAGCTGCACCTCCGAATTCCGAATTTAGAAAACCCCAAATTTAGTGGACCCTCCACAGTCCACCTATCACCCCTCTCTCCAATTCCAAAGGCCCGGCTAAATCCATTAATTCCGTTAGCCAAATCCTCTAGTTTAAATACCCCCCAATTCCCCAACCATCAAAGAGTCGTTGGCAAAGAGAAGCCCCCCTCTTACCGGCGTCCTCTATCCAAGATGGAGACTCCTTTCAAGCTCCTCTTCCTCTCATTCTTCTTTGCCTCTGCAACGTGCTTCAACATCACTAAGATCTTGGACCAACACCCCGAATTCAATGTCTTCAATAGCTATCTAACTTTGACAAAAGTCGTCGGAGAAATCAACAAGAGGAATACCATAACCATCCTGGCAATTGAGGATTCCGCCATGTCTAGCATCACCGGCGGCAATTTCGCCCCAGAGGTTCTACATAATATCATGAGCGTCCATGTTGTCTTGGACTACTATGACTCCAAGAAACTCGACAATTTGTCTGAGGGGACCGCCCTCTTGACCGCTCTATTTCAGAGCACCGGCTCCGCTGTTGGACAACAGGGGTTCCTGAACGTCACCAAGTCGAAGCAGACTGGAGAAATCCTGTTTGGCTCGGCTGTCCTTGGCTCGGCTCTCTCCGCTAAGCTGGTGAAGTCTGTTGCTTCGGAGCCATACAATATTTCAGTGCTACAAATATCCAGACCAATCATTCCCCAAGGAATTGACAAGTCCAATAACGCTTCAAAAGTTTCTCCATCTGTGGCCCCTGCTCCAGCACCTAAGGCATCCGCTCCGGCACCTAAGGCATCCGCTCCAGCAACTGAGGCCCCAACACCTTCCTCTCCAGCCCTTGCACCACCAGGAAACCACACTCCTGCACCAGAGGGACCCACATCCCCCCCTGAAAATGAGGGTCCCACGGCGGCACCTCTAGCATCCCCTCCATCACCACCTGCCGCCGAGGGACCCGGTCCGGCAGCTGAGGGGCCTGATGGATCTGCACAAGGCCCGAGTGACTCTGAAAAGTCTGCTGGGGCTCGGGTTGTCTCTAGCACGTGCCTCGTGGCAGTGTTAGGATTCTTGGGCTATGCGGTGCTGTAATTTTTTTTGAGATGGCACGGTTGGAGTGTATGTCCTGATTTGTATAATTGATTTGATTCAAATTGTGATATCACCAAATCGGAGGGGTTTATGAATAAAATGTCTACACGTGTCCAATAGGCCCATTGGGTTTTCAAAAAACAAGACTCGGTTTTCATCGAGTTATTCAAATACTCAGGTGAATTGCCAAGTTGATTCATCGAGTCACCTCTCTATTTTTGTACCCTGGGCGCGTTTTGCTTTTCTCTATTGTTATATTTGGTGGAAATTCCTAAGCTCCAATATGGGAGTGTATTCTTCTTTCTACTGATTAGAATAACGGGCAAATGGTTTTATTTGATGTTACGTAACGGAAAAGTATACACAAACTATTTATATTTATTACATTATCATCATCAGAGGTTTTTTTTTCAATTATTTGGAATCGGCTATACGAATTTTGATCTGTCATTCTGCTATATCAAGGGCTATACCATCAGTGAGGCCATGTGTCCTTATATCTTTTTTAAGTACTTCCAACCGTATCCTTTTGGGTCTATCTTTTACCATTTTTAGCTTTCTACTTAAACCTATTCACATCTCCTAAACGGTAGTGTACTTGGTTTGCAGTATGCATTATACATGGCTAGCTCATGTAAGTCTATTTTTTCTCACCTTATTACCTATTGGGGTTACACCTAAGCTCCCCCGGATCCATTCTTTCGAATTCTGTCCCTTTTTGTCTTGCCACTCATCAATCTCAACATCCTCATTTTGACTACATTCATCCTATGTGCATGTCGTTTCTTGACCGCCCAACATTCTGCTCTATAAAGTAAAACTGGTGTCATCGTTGTTTTATAGAACTTCCTCTTCAGCTATATTGGTATGCGGCGATCACATAATACTTTGGTTTCATATCTCCATTTCGCTCATTCAAATTTAATTCTATGTGTAACATCTTCCTCGGTCTCTCCATTTTTTTGAATTATCATCATATGTGTTACAATTAATCTTTGACCATTGGCTGCGAATTTGGATAGCTATATTGTTCCATTGACTAGACTCAAATTTTAACTGAAAATTTTCGCACTTTGCTGATAAGTGGGGTTTTGTTCGTAACAATGTGCTCATATAGATTGGTGCACCACGCCACCCATTCAGGATGAATGTTGCTATGACCCCTTAGTAGAGGACATTCAAACGAGGCCTTAGTCTGGTTTGTTTGAGGTTATTAAAAGCATTTGAACGAGTACAATGCTAGATTTTTTGTTTTTTATTGATACAGTAAATAAAATAGAACGAGGTCTTCATGCAATGCAATCTCCCTCAAAAATAAATCTTAGAGATAAATTGGATCAATAAACTAAAAGAAAAACGTTTATATAAGGTTGCAATCTTAAAATGTAGAATTACAGATGCACATCAAAAATGCATCAGGAAAAATATTGTTTTAATGTTATAAAATCCTCTAATTGATCATCGAGATGTACGAATATGAAAAAAAAAAAGATTTTAAGTCCCATAAATAATGCATCATGCAACACATTATTTAGACGATCCAATTTCAAGATTTTCATATGTTTATAGATCTACATGACTTTTATCATTTTTAAAGGTTAAAATTTTATAGTTAGATGTGAAAATAAATTTTCAGATAATTCTAAGTATTTTTTATACTAAAATTACATTTTATGATAAAATTTAGAAGTGCGTCTTAATTGGATTGTTTAAGGTTGACACTTTATAGAAACCACACTCTAAACTAAATAATTGGAACTTAAAATAGATAGTTTAAATTTTCTCCTTTTGACTATTCATCACCATTCATTTTAATTATTTGCGGTTCATCAAATATGCACTATTTTTGGAAGGGAAAATTATAAAAATATACGTAAGAGATAAATTCTCTAACGATTCTTCTATTTTGCAACTATTCCAACAATAAATCACGTGTTTTTTTATGGGTATTTTGAAAGAACTAAAAGATTGGGGCAAGACATTAAAATTTTCATCTCTTATGTTTACTTTGACAAATTTCCTTTTTTTGAATAGCAAAATCATGGATAACAAGCAGAAATGCCTCTAGAATGACTTAAGATGCGCTTAACATCCTAATTTCATTTCTTAAAAGAATTCTAGGAGAGGAAGCACATATGAATGGAACCTTAACTGAACTTTTTCCTACGAAATATTAGACCTAAGCATGACCTTATCAAGTGGAAATTTTTTATGATCTCCTAAATAATTTAATATGATCCATATGGTATAATCCTCCACAATAATTGGCATTAATTAATTCCTAATTATTCTTTTGATTGGGAAATTCTCAACATGGAATTGGTCCAAAGGAATCAAGTGATATCTCTATTACGAAGTTTCTATGAGGCCTAGGCTTTTGAAGACAAAATAAAGCCTCACCTCAAGTACTCGTGCAGAAAATACTATCGGCAATGTAAATCTCCGTGATAGCTCTAAAATCAATTTTCAACACCGACAATAAAATTTGAAACTTAAAAAATAATACAAATGTTGTGGATCTATGGATACTTATTTTTGTGGTGAAATAAACAGTCCAAATAATTTATTATAATATACATTATTTTTAGAGCTTGAATTTTTTTTTTTTATTTCGCAACCATATCGTTCAAGCCGAGATGATCGATCTAAAGCTTTTCTACTACTTTGAATTGCAATTTTTCATGAGTCATGCGGTGTAGGGCTGCAGCCCTTTCAAACCATTTTCCATCATTTTTTGTCATTGACTATAAGGCGTACCTTGGTGGGCAATTCAAGTCCCAAAGGCTGTACATTGGAAATGCTTTTAAATTGGCACCTCCATCACCATTTGCTATTTCAAGCCCTATATGATTAGCCATATTTATGACCTCTATGCATAAATGCGAGTGGAGTGATTGGCTTCAGCCTCTCTTGTCCATATCACCTTGTCAACCGAAGACAAATGCAATAATTTTGGAGAGAGAGGGGAGGGGGGGATTCTATCCAAATGGGCAGAGAGAGAGAGAGAGATTTGACAAAATGGGGGAGAGTGTAAATTGGGAGATTGATCAAATGGGTAGAGACAGAGAAGAGAGAGATTTGACAAAATGGGGGAAAGAGGAGTAATTGTCTAAATGTGGAGAGAGTGTCGATTGACCGATTGGGAAGAGAGAGAAAGTGTGTTAAAAAGGACAGAAAGGAGTGACAGGGAGAGAGGATTAATTGACCAAAAGGGTTGAGACAGAGACCATTGACCATTTCATATTTTACTCATTTCGTATTTAACATTAAAATACAGATGACTATTATTTTTTTTCTTTTTTAGGTGAATATAGCTTCTTTTTTTTTCCAACTATTCAAACTCATACTCAATTTAGGGATGGCTGGACCAGGCCCTAAGCAAGCATTACTTTACATCTTGGGAGGGCCAATATGAAAATCAAATAGGAAAAGTATTAATGTTACATGTAATTGTTCTCAGGTTCAAATTTTGGGTTGATTTGAGGGTAATAAATGGTTTTACTTTTAATTCTTTGTCTATCTCATAAATTAGATTAACATGAGAATTGGGATGTATATGTACTGTAACCGGAAGTACATAGAAAATAAAAAATAATTCAAATAAAAAATAACTAAAATATTCCTAAAACACTCAAGAGTATTTTCATCATTTTTTTATTTGAATATTTTTATTATTTTTATAGGATTATATACAATGAGACCATTTACTTTTGGTACAGGAAGGTCACAATTACTTACAACCATCTGATGTAAAATCTGATAGCTAAGGTGTGTCACAAAGTTTGAGAAAATTTCTTTTAAAGTTTGAGTTTGATCAATGAAATAAATATAGCCACCCAATTTCACATGTACCAAAAGTAATTGGTCTCATTATATATTTCCCCTATTTTTATTGGGGAGCAATGATTTCATGCAATGGTTGTATAGTATTATGATGCAACAATCTTCAAAAACCATATTATGACCATTTGTTTGATCCAAATTTTGAAATATATACTCATTTCATTCTAATAAACAATTACAAAAAAGAAAAAATTGAAAACACAACTTATAAGTATTTTTTTAGCCCAATTAACATAGGCCGTTCATTTTGGTGAAATGCTTAGATCTAGGCCTTAGAAGGATTTTTTCATTTCTAATTTTTTTGGATGGCTTTATTACCATTAGATGAACAATGTGAAAAAATAAAAACAATGATTTTGAGTTAATAAAAGCTAAGATCTTGAAATTTACCAAATGAATGGTTTTGATTCGTTTTTG